GGCGCATGGCGACCCCAAGCTTCGACTATGTGTCTGACTCTCGACTAATCAGAGCATCACAATGGAACAAACTCGGAGATAAACGATGGGGATGCGTCGATCCTCCACCCGTGTGCATCCGAACAGCCCTCTGGGGGTGTATCCCCGAGTCCCCCTGCTTTTCTGGGCATCCAGTTCCTTTGGGTTGCAGTTCGGGGATGGGGGCCGAGACATCGCCTGCGATCTCGCACTCCTGACAAGCGACCCCTGCCTGGGATACTTGACGGCCTCTCGGACAATTGCTCGTCCAAGGTGTCTCGCGACGCGGGGGAACCGCAAAACGAGCCGGACGCCGCATGAATGAACAAGCTTCATCCAAAACCGAGGCACCATCGTCCTCGACCCCTTTCTGCACCGTATTCTCAAAGCTTCGGTGGCACCGCATGGAAGCCTCCTATATACCATCTTGTTGGCTCTGGCGAGTCGACGCTGGATCGACGCCACTCAACGGTAGATCGGCGCTATTTGTTCGATTGCCAGGCGCTCGTCGACGCGAATGCGCACTAGGGACGGAATTGCAAGGGTATACGTGGCTGCTGTGATTTGCTACCGAGCGCTACTGGGCAAACCGCTTGTGTTGTCGTGCCCTCCTGTCCGCCACGCTCCGCCAAGCTTCTTTTTGTGTGTTCTCTCTCTCTCTCTCTCTCTCTTTTTTTCGCATCCCGCTCCTCCCTTTTGCTCCCTCTCAGGATGCATCTACCGGGAGGACTTCGTCGGAAGAACGAATGAGGATTAAACCCCATTGGGGAGCTCTTACGCCGAATTGGCCCGCGGAGCAAGCGGGATTCAGCTGGATCCAGCGGTAGCACGCTGGATCAAGCGGGATTGAGCCGGAGGAAACCGGACTTCGGACCAGGGCAAAGTCAGAACTTGACCTCCCAGAAGTTGCATCCGAATCCCTCCATCATTGCCAATGCCCTATGGACGGGGAGACGTAAGACTCAAGTACGGGGGACTCGGGTTGGCCTGCCCAGGCCATCATCAAAATGACACGACCCAATCTGAAATTTGACGCGAGCTCCCGCTGCAAACATCAAACGAACACTGGACCAACCAAATCCAGGACGCCCTCGTCGAAAAACGTCAACAAATCCGAATTCCGGCTTACTCTCGAGTCTTACGTTTAAGTCGGGCCTGTCCCCCCGCAGGGGGATTTTGGACGAAAATTTTAATCAGTAACACAATACCCTTAAATACTTAACAAATGGTTACAAAATCGTCCCCAGACTATTTTTCCCAACCATCCTGTGGTGTTGGGTCCTCGTTTTGAAGAGACGGTGCCCCGCGTTCCTCTCCTCTCCTCTCCTCTCCTCTCCTCTCCTCTCCTCTCCTCTCCTCTCCTCTCCTCTCCTCTCCTCTCCTCCTCCCCTCCTCTCCTCCTCTCCTCTTCACCCACCCAGTACACCGTTTCGTGGCTCCATAGGGAGCTCCACCGAAGGCCCAAGTGCCCGCGCCCGCATGCGTCACCCACACCCATTTCGGCACACCCCTCACACGTTTCGTGGCTCCATAGGGAGCTCCACCGAAGGCCCCAGTGCCCGCGCCCGCATGCGTCCCCCACACCCATTTCGGCACACCCCTCACACGTTTCGTGGCTCCATAGGGAGCTCCACCGAAGGCCCCAGTGCCCGCGGCCGCATGCGTCCCCCACACCCATTTCGGCACACCCCTCACACGTTTCGTGGCTCCATAGGGAGCTCCACCGAAGGCCCCAGTGCCCGCGCCCGCATGCGTCACCCACACCCATTTCGGCACACCCCTCACACGCTTCGTGGCTCCATAGGGAGCTCCACCGAAGGCCCCAGTGCCCGCGCCCGCATGCGTCACCCACACCCATTTCGGCACACCCCTCACACGTTTCGTGGCTCCATAGGGAGCTCCACCGAAGGCCCCAGTGCCCGCGCCCGCATGCGTCACCCACACCCATTTCGGCACACCCCTCACACGTTTCGTGGCTCCATAGGGAGCTCCACCGAAGGCCCCAGTGCCCGCGCCCGCATGCGTCACCCACACCCATTTCGGCACACCCCTCACACGTTTCGTGGCTCCATAGGGAGCTCCACCGAAGGCCCCAGTGCCCGCGCCCGCATGCGTCAGCCACACCGCACACCCCTCACACGCGTGGCCCCATAGGGAGCTCGCCGAAGGCCCCAGTGCCCGCGCCCGCCCCACACCCATTTCGGCCACACCCCTCACACGTTTCGTGGCTCCATAGGGAGCTCCACCGAAGGCCCCAGTGCCCGCGCCCGCATGCGTCACCCACACCCATTTCGGCACACCCCTCACACGTTTCGTGGCTCCATAGGGAGCTCCACCGAAGGCCCCAGTGCCCGCGGCCGCATGCGTCACCCACACCCATTTCGGCACACCCCTCACACGTTTCGTGGCCCCATAGGGAGCTCCACCGAAGGCCCCAGTGCCCGCGCCCGCATGCGTCAGCCCATTTCGGACCCCTCACACGCGTGGCCCCATAGGGAGCTCCACCGAAGGCCCCAGTGGCGGCGCTCACATGCGCATGCGTCCCGCACACCCATTTCGGCACATCCCTGACAGGTTTCGTGGCCCCATCATCCACCGGAGGCCCCAGTGGCGGCGCTCACATGCGTCACCCACACCCACCCAATTCGGCACACCCCTCACACGTTTCGTGGCCCCATAGGGAGCTCCACCGAAGGCCCCAGCGGCCGCGCTCACATGCGTCCCCGCCACCCATCCCGGCACGCCCCTCACAACAACAGGTTTCGTGGCCCCATAGGGAGCTCCACCGAAGGCCCCAGTGGCACCGCCCGCATGCGTCACCACCCGCACCCAATTCGGCACACCCCTCACACGTTTCGTGGCCCCATAGAGAGCTGCACCGAAGGCCCCAGTGGCGGCGCTCACATGCGTCCCCGCCACACATCCCAGTACACCCCTCACGCGCTTCGTGGCCCCATAGGGAGCTCCACCGAAGGCCCCAGTAGCGGCGCTTACATGCGTCTCCGCCACCCATCCCGGCCCCCCCCCCCGCAGCAGCATCATGTTTCGGGGACCCATAGGGAGCTCCACTGGAGGCCCCAGTGGCGGCCCGCACATGCGTTTCCGCCACCCATGTCGGCACGCCCCGCGCGTGTTTCATGTCCCCATAGGGAGCTTCGCCGAATGCCCCAATGGCACCCATCTCGGCACACCCCTCACACGTTCCGTAATCCTATGGGGAGTTCCACTGAAGATGAAACCCGCAGCTGCGGTACTGACAACTGCATTTCGTTGGGCTCTTCGCCAGGCTAATTTTTCTATTTTTGAATTTTCCTCCTGTAGAGGGACAGGCCCGACTTAGTCTTACGTTTCCCAGACACGGTGTAGCGACTGGCCGCGCGCGGGGCCAAAGGCAATCGCACGTTTTGGTACTTCTCTGGGGCTCTGGGCCCGCCTGTGCGCACCCGGCGCCTGCTCGGCTTCCCCCGGGGCCGTAGGCGACGCGAGGAGGAGGAGGAGGAGGAGGAGGAGGAGGAGGAAGGAGGAGGAAGGGGAGGGGGAGGAAGAGGAGGTGGAGGAGGAGGAGAGGACGAGGAGGAGGTGGAGGAAGGGGAGGGGGAGAGGAGAAGGAAGAGGAGAAGGAGGAGAGAGGAGGAGGAGGAGGAGGAAGGGAGGAGAGGAGGAGGAGGAGGAGGAGGAGGAGGAGGAGGAGGAGAGGAGGAGGAGGAGGAGGAGGAGGACGGGTCGCCTAAGCCATTCGGATGAACCCTCAACTGGCGCCTCTACGCGTCAGACGGCTGCATACGACGAGCTCCAGTGGAAATCCGCCCGCTCCCGCCTCCTGTCCTCCTCCTCCTTCTGCTTCTCCTCCTCGTCTTTGCACCTGCCTCCTCCTCATCCTCCTCCTCCTCCTCCTCCTCCACCTCCCCCTCCCCTACTCCTCCTCCTGTCCTCCTCCTCCTCCCTCCCTCCTCCTCCCCCTCCCTCCTTCTCCTCCTCCTCCCTCCCTCCCCCTCCCTCCTCCTCCTCGCCCCCCGGCCTTCGCCCCTTACGCCAGACCCCTCGCGCGGAGCACGCCCCGCAAAGAAAAGAAAGCTCCTTCTGCGCCCACGGCGAGCCCCACCAGTGGCCCCAGAGGGAGGACTCGCACAGCGCGTCCCCGCGCCCAAGGCTAGGTCGGGCATGTCCCCCTACAGGCCGATGTTTGACGGAAAACCGAAAACAGCCAACAAAAATTGTCCCCTGACTATGTTTGGACTATTGTTGCATACCCCTCCTGTAGAGGGACAGGCCCGACATAAGCCCAGTACAGCGCACGCCTCGCGCGGATCGTGCCCAGCAGGGGGGACAACCCTCGGCCCTGGAGCGATGGGTTCGCACGGCAACTCCCCCGCTCCATCCAGCGAGCGTGAAACTGAGAAGCACCACGCGGGGTGCCAGGAGCCCTGGCCTCGGTGGGGTGGGAGGCGAAGTTCCCACTTCAAAGCAAACACCTACGTCGTGACATCTGGGTGATGCAGCTTGTTTGTTGCAATCGATGGGTTCCACTACACGTGTTGCAGGCCCTGCGGCACAAGCTACACAACCGACTGCGGCAAACCCCGCAACCGTGGCAGCGCAGGCGCGCGGCGTGGAGGATGAACTTCAGGCCCACGCCGCTTCAGCGCGCGGTCTGAACTTGCCTGGGCCTTACACTCGAACTTGCCTGGGCCTGGGCCTTGCGCGGTCTGAACTTGCCTCGTTCCCTCGGTTTTTGAAACTCTCGTGGGCCGTTTTCGAGGGCTCTTGGGCAGTCTTGGGGCCATCCGGGAGCTCTTCGGGGGCAATGTTGGGCAATCTTGGGGGTTTCTTGGGGCTCTCTGACATGTTCCCGAGGCCATCTGAAGCCAGAATACCTCCGCAGTAACACACATTGATCTCCCATAGGGTGTTCATAGGCAGCTCTGCTCTTCGGGCTTCGCTTGGCACTTCCTTGGGAATCGATTGGCAGCTTGTGTATGCCGTCAGCGCGGTACATTGTTTTGGAGCCCACGCTCTTTGAAATCAGACTTCTGCTCCAGCAGCAGCGAACAGCTGAAGGCAGGCACTGCCGGCGACCACGACGCTGTTCGTCGTGGGAGAACCGCTTCGCTGTAGGCCTGGCAGGACGAGCCTGAGGGCAAACATAGGAGGGGAAACAACTCAGGGGGGAAACGCCTAGCCGGCATCGGCGATGCATCGCCGATTGGCCCCGATAGCGACACCGCAAATTCCTGAGGCGGAATTGGCTATCAGGCCCGCATCGGCGATCAGTGGGCGACTGGGGGTCGATTTCATCCTCAACTGAGCCTGCCAACCCTGAGATATCCCCGTCACAAAAATTGGAGGTTCATAGCTCGGGTCTCCTTGCGGGACCGTAATTCGACGACCCGACGAGGAGGAGGAGAAGGAGGAGGAGGAGGAGGAGGAGGAGGAGGAGGAGGAGGAGGAGGAGGAGGAGGGGGAGGAGGAGAGGAGGAGGAGGAGGAGGAGGAGGAGGAGGAGGAGGAAGGAGGAGGAGGAGGAGGAGGAGGAGGAGGAGGAGGAGGAGGTGGAGGAGGAGGAGGAGGGGGAGGGGGGGGAGGAGGAGGAGGAGGAGGAGGAGGAGGAGGAGGAGGAGGAGGAGGAGGAGGAGGAGGAGGAGGAGGAGGAGGAGGAGGAGGAGGAGGAGGAGGAGGAGGAGGAGGAGGAGGAGGGGGAGAGAGGAGGGGGACGGGTCGCCTAAGCCCTTCGGAAGAACCCTCCAGGCCTCCTTCGGCCGATATTGACCATCCGAGCAGACCCAGCCGCCCCTCGGCGAGGCGCAGCTGCGGGAGAGCACCCCGAGGCTGGAGAGCCGCCGGGCGGCACCGAGAGCGTCCGAGCACCCTCCCTCGAACCTTCGAGCCGTTTCCCCTCCCCAGCGTTGCTCCTGCAAGGCGCCCACACAGTCAGCGGCCTGACCTAAGGAACAACAAATAAGGAACGAAACACATGTTTCCCAAGGAGCAACGCAGAAGGAACGATATATCATACATACCACATAAGGAACGGTAGATGACGCATGCGAGCCTGAGGAATGAGCGAGACCCTTTTGAAAAGTAAGTGCTCCTTACTCAAGCCGCTCACTGTAGCGCAGAGTGCACGTGGAGACGCCAGCCACGAGAGGCCGCACGCTGGAGCGGCCGGCGACCGCCGAGGACGCGGGCAGAAGCACGCGCACGTCTGAGAACGCGCGATCGCCTGCGGAGCCCAGCCCGCGTGTCACACGTGCAGAGAAACGCGCGGGTGACACAGCCATCGCTCTCCTGTGAGAGAGCGGGGAAGAGAAGAATGTGCGGGGCACGATTGCCACAAACATTTTCGGATCTTCGGCTTCCGCTTCGCTTCGGCTCCGTGTGGCCCGCGAGAGGGGGAACGATTGAACATATAGCTTCTCAATCAGGGGCCGGTCTTTCTCATCATCGCGACCCCCTCTAATTTCATCGGCGGTGGAGAAACCTCCCTTTAGTAAACCTCCCTTTAACGAAAACGGCCTAGGAACGAAACCGACGGAACTGGACCCGCAAGAATGACGGCCGCGACGCCCTCTCGCGAACCGAAGACGGCCAATTCGCTAATCGACGTGTCAGCGTAGAATGTCTATCAACCCCCGATGTCATCATCCTACATTCCCAGAGGGAACAGTCGAGGAGCGATCGGACTGTTCTGGCCACGGCGAGCCTCGGCATCGGCTGGGCTCCCCGACCGGGCTCCCCGACCTCGATCGGAGAAACGGCCCGGAAGCCAGAGCCCCTCCTGAAGCCGGAAGGGTCCTCGTGTCAGCGTCTTGGCCTGCGCATTTTCGTCGGGTGGGGGGCTCGGGGTGAAATCCACATGGGCTTTTGCACCTCGGAAATCAATCTGTCATGTGATTCACCGCTTGCAGGTTCGAGCCTCGAGCATCAATCGGAACGGCATTTCAGATTTCACCCTTCGCCCTCCGCCCAAAGAAAATGCTCCGTTGACTGCACGAGAACGTCGCCCATTGCACCATACCTCGGAGGCGAGTTCAGGGGGGGGGCCAGAGGGGTTTGGCGGACCTGCTCAGAGGGCTGGAAAGGCCTCTGGCCTTTGGAGAGGTATCCTGAGCCTCCCCGGAAGCCGCAAAGTCACAGACGGCACTTCAGAAGACCAGAGTTAGGTCGGGCGTGTCCTCCTACAGGCGGATTTTGGACGAAGCATTAAACATAGTCAACAACATGCTCAAGAATGGTAAAACATAGTCGAAGCATCGTTCCCAGATTAATCGTAATAAACGACAAATAATAGAAATAGCAAAGAATAGCCGGAAAAGTCGAAGGATAAAAGGACCAAAGTCAAAAGATCGAACAATGGTTGAAATAATTGTTTTGAATATTCCTCCTGTAGAGGGACATGCCCGACTTAGGGCTAGAGGGCTCTTGGCAAAGGCCTGCCCCTCTCGCACATCCCCCCCCCCAAGGCGCGCCGCCGCATGCCAGGGCTGGACTTCCCTCAATGGTGCCCCGCTCCCACGCGGCACGGTGCACAGAGGAGGAGAAGGAGGAGGAGGAGGAGGCGGAGGCGGAGGAGGAGGGGAAGGAGGAGGAGGAGGAGGATGAGAAGGAGGAAGAGGAGGAGGAATAGGAGGAGGAGGAGGGATAGGAGGACGAAGGACGAGGAGGAGTAGGAAGAGGAGGAGGAATAGGAGGAGGAGGAGGAGGGAGAGGAGGACGAAGGACGAGGAGGAGGACGAGGAGGAGGAGGAGGAGGACGAAGGAGGAGGGGGAGGAGGACGACGAAGGAGGAGAAGGAGGAGGAGGAGGACGAGGAGGAGGACAACCATGCACCGTACCTTCGCCTGCGCCGAGGATCGACGACGCCTCCGGAGGACGCCTGCGCGGCGCGGTGTACGCACGTCGCCCGCGGGGGGGGGCGAAGGGGGAACGTCGGGGGGGAGGGGGGGCGGGCCAGCTCGGGGTCGACGGCGCGCCGAGGAGGGGAAGCGGGAGGGGCTACAGTCGGGCGATCGCAAACGTGGATCAAGAGGGCGTGGATTCGCGGCGGGTCCCGTTCCCATTGGAAATCGCGTGTTGTCGCCGCCGAGCGAGGCGGCACCGGCCGCACTTTGGGGAGGGCCCCCCCCGATCCATGGGTTTGGCGACTGCGCTCGCCAAATCCATGGATCGCGAATCCATGTTTGCGCGCCCCCGATTCAGTTAGGTCAGGCATGTCCTCCTACAGGCGGATTTTGGACGAAAAATAAAAAAATACCCCCAAAATGCTCCCAACATGCCCAAACAATATCAAACAAATATCACCCGACTCTTTTTTTGACTATTTTTGAGTATCCCCCCTGTTGAAGGGACAGGCCCGACATCAGCGGCTACAGTCAACCCGTACAGCAAGGATGCGCCATGAGGATGCAAAGGGCCCTGGAGGCCCATGTCGAAGCTCTTCGAGCGGGGCGCGGCTGACGACCCCAAAGGTCCAACGTACTGAAAACAATCCGGGCGGAAATGTTGCACAATGTCCGGCCTTGCAGGGGCCCTTACCGGGCCTCGGGGCCGTCAACAAAACGACTCAGGATGAAAAGTCGGTCCTGGGGAAAGGGTCCAGACTTCCGGGGACCCCCTATTGGAAAAAACACGACATCGGATCTCTGGCACAGTGGCCAAGGATTGGCCGAGGAGGCTAGGATGCAAGAGTACCATTGGGACGGTTGTCCATCCTTCGTATGCGGGTTGACGGTAGGCCTTCTCGGGAGACGGCAGGGCTTCTCAAAAGCCCTCTGGCCTTCGGAGAAACCGCCGTTGTCTTCGGACGATGGTCAGAAGGCTTCTGAGGAGGCCACGTGCGGGTCCCAAGAGCATACGCCACCACCTCGTCGACTCCTCCTCCCTCCTCTGCCCTCCTCTTCCCCTCCCTGCTCCTGGGAGAGGGCGGGAGTTGAGGGGGGAGGTGGTGCTGGTGTAAACTCGTGGGCCCCATGTGCCGGATGCCTGCTGAGCACCCTCTCCCTGCCCCCCCTGGGCGCGCCGCCGGCAAGAGGGGGGGGAACAAAGAGGCATCGGGCTTGACTCGGCGATGCGTGGCCGACGCATCGGGGCTCTTCTGACCCGGGTCAATCCAGACCCGGGTCAGCAAGAAACCAACAACTGCAATGCAGGAACAACAAAGAACTGCAACGCAGGCCTCCGCGAACCTGGGCCAGCCCCTCTGCGCGGCCGCCCCGCGGCCACGAGCGGCTCGCTGACCCGGGTCAGCCAGAGAGGGTCTTCGCAGCATCCCGCAGGATCCGGTGCCCCGGCTGATCCGGTGCCCCGGCTGCCAGGAGGAGGAGGAGGAGAAGAAGAAGAAGAAGGAGGAGGAGGAGGAGGAGGAGGAGGAGGCGGGCGTGCGTGCAGGAGGCGGAGGGGCCATCGGCAGGCCGCGTGGCACAGCCCGTCCGAGTGGGACCGGCAGCTGGAGACGCTGGACAATCACCAGGCCGCCACTGTCGGCCCGTCGCCGCGACCATCGAGCCCCGACCCCCCGCCTCTCGGGCCCCGAACGCATCGGCGTCCGGCGGCGAGGCCCCGCACTCTGTCCTCCCCTGGGGCGCGGGGGCAGGCCTCCGGGCCCCGCAGCCCGTCGATCCCCTGGAGCGCTCGGGGGCCTCCTCCTCCTCCTCCTCCTCCTCCTCCTCCTCCTCCTCCTCCTCCTCCTCCTCCTCCTCCTCCTCCTCCTCCCCCCCGTCGGCGCAACCCCGCAGAGCCTGCCCGCGTGGCCGATTCTCCGGGAGCGCGCTTCTCGTCGGCGGCGAGGCGGGGCAGTCCGCTCCAGCGTGGCAGCGATGCAGGGGCACCACGAACTGCAGAGCGAGCTGGCCGGCATGCGCGAGGGGGGAGGGAGGAAGACGGGGCGGCCGCGGGGGGGGGGGGGGAGGGGCGAGCACTCAGAGGCGGAGGACTTCCGCCATGAGCAGCCGCCATTGCATCTCTTGGGGACGCACACTTTCCTTCCGCCGCCTCCCGCCGGCCTTCCGCTGGCGGAGGCGCCCTCGGTTTCCCTCCGCCCACCTTCCGCCGACCCTCCGCCGCGGAAGAGGTGACGCCTCCGTCTCGGCTCTCGAGGGCACAACGCCCCTCTCTCCTGGAACGCCCCACGTGTCCGTCCTCCCCCTCCCCCCCTTGAGCGTCGCTGCCCCTGAGCGGAAGAAGGCAGCACAGGGTGTCCCGCAACGCGGCCGCTACTGAGCTCGCTTGGCGAGTACCGCCTCCATGGCCCACCGCCGGAAGACCGCCGCGTGCTCGTCCGCCTCGCCCTCCGCCTCCTTCATGTCGCGGAACAGCGCCCGCGACCGCCCCAGCGCCTCGTCCCTCTGGTGCCGCAGGCGAGGCTGCACCACGCTCAGCAGGGAAGCGCCGGGCGCGAGGGCCTCCTCCATAAAAAAGGCCTCCCTGGATAGGGTCGGAGTAGATGGGGTCGGGGGATCGCGCCGCATCGCCGACGCATCGGCGATGCATCACCGATGCATCGGCGATGCATCGACGATGCACCAGTGATGCATCGTCGACGTGGGCGATGCTTCGGCGACGTCCACGTGCAGAAAGTCAGGCTCCGCATCGAGCCGCATCGTCGATGCATCGGCGATGTGGCGCAAACCTCCGACCCCATATACTCTTAGGTCGGGCACGTCCTCGTACAGGTGGATTCCAGAAGAACGATGAAATGTTGTCAAAGAAAGATACCAAAATTGTCAAACATGGTAGAAATATCGTCCCAAACCGAACTCCCACCAGCCTTTTGGGCGTGAGTGGTTTAGAGAGCCCGGTCTGTGCTGAACCCCCTTCTTCCCCTTCGGGGAGGGGTTTACCCCTCCCCCTACCCCCTCCCCCTGGGCCTGGAGAGGTCCTTCCGCGGGTGGTCGGAGGGGTCTTTTTCGACTCCTGGGAGGGCTAAAATTCGACACCCCTCACGAGGATCGTGGCCCCGACGGGGGGGGGAGAAAAATGCTCGCCCCATCTGTGATCGATCGCCCGAAAGATGGCCCCAAGATACCTCCCAGACCCCTCCCAAAGAGCCCCAAGAGGGCCCTAAGAGCGCCCCGGGAGAGCCCGCAAAGGGCTCCGAGACCTCCAACATATCGCCCAGAAGGCCCTAGTATATCCCCAAGATGTCTCCACATATCGCCAAGAAGGCCCTAGTATATCCCCAAGCACTGCGACAACGACAACGACTACGACTTCTACCGCTACTCCCACCGCTACCACCACGACTCCTACTACAACAACAACAACTACTCATACTTCTACCGCTACTGCTACTGCTACTGCTACTACTACTGCTACTACTACTACTACTACTACTACTACTACTACTACTACTACTACTACTACTACTACTACTACTACTACTACTACTACTACTACTACTACTACTACTACTACTACTACTACTACGACTACGACTACTACTACTACTACTACGACTACTACTACTACTACTACGACTACTACTACTACTACTACTACGACTACGACTACGACTACTACTACTACGACTACTACTACTACTACTACTACTACTACTACTACTACTACTACTACTACTACTACTACTACTACTACGACTACTACTACTACTACTACTACTACTACTACTACTACTACTACTACTACTACTACTACTACTACTACTACTACTACTACTACTACTACTACTACTACTACTACTACTACTACTACTACTACTACTACTACTACTACTACTACTACGGCAACTACAACTACTACTACTCCTCTCACTCCTACTACTGCCACTTCTTCTTCTTCTACGACCACTACTGCTACTTCTGCTACTACTACTACTACTACCACTACTAATTCTACTACGACGGCTACTGCTATTGCTACTGCTACTGCTAGTACTCTGCCTCAGGCAGAAATACGCCTGAAAAACACGACTGTCGGCATGCTTCGCTGGAGTTGCTGTTTGGGGATGGGCTGGTGGGGATACGCGAAGCGTGAAGAATTTCGACTGCTTTTGAACATTTCTCCTGTCGAGGGACATGCCCGACTCAAATCTGCTTGGACCCCATCTGGGAGGCCCAGATCCTCGGACCCCGTGAACCGCGCCGACTCGAGCAGCCGCTGCACCCACATCACCGTGGCCTCCACCTCCTGCGACAGCGCCGCCGCCAACTCCTGCACGGACCCCCCAGGCCCGCCCCAAAGATGCCCTGTCGACATCGTCTCAGGTCGGTCATTTCCCCCAACAGGCGGATTTTGGATGAAAAATACAGCAAAAATGTGGAGAATGGCCAAGTTATACGAACAGATGATGAAACCGTCTTACCGACTCTGTTTTGACTAATCTTAATATTCCTCCTGTGCAGGGGACATGCCCGACTTACAGATCGTCCCCTGGGGTCCCCCCTGGCCCTTGTTTTGCATCTTCGGGGGGCCTTTTCTGTCCCGCTGCGCCGCGATCCACGTCGCATCCGTGTCGAGCCCATGTCGAGCGCGTCGAATCCGTGTCGATTCCACGTCGATTTCGCATCCAACCCACGTCGGAGTATCAGAAGAGACTGTCATTTTCAGAACAAGAAAGGTCCCCCGGAGATGCAACGTAATGGCCCATTTCCCGAGGCGGATCCAACCGTGGCGACGAGAAGCTTCGAAGCGGCCCCAAAACCCAGACACCCGACGTCGTGATGTTTGCACAGCGTCGACCCCGAAAAGTCTCGACCCCTTCCCTGGGACCGGTGTTTCATCCTGACTTGTTGTTTGACAGTCCCGAGGCCCGGTAAGGGCTCCTGGAGTGTGAAAATAGCGAACAAACCTGCCGTCGCGACTTCCTCACAACGCGAGGGGGTCTAGGAAGGACCGACAACAGCATCACTGGCTTCCACCTCCTGCGACAGAGCCGCAACCAGCTCCTGCGGGGCCGCCGGCTCCCGCTCCGTCGCGGCGAGCGCTTCCGGCGACGCGGGCCGCTCCAGAGCCTCTCACGAGCGGCGAGCGTATCCACGCATGCGCCCTCGCGGTCTGCATTCCGGGGCGCGACCCCGCGGATGCGCGGTCGCACGGATAAGCTCCGCGCAGGGCATCCTACGCACCGTGTCCGCGAGGTCGCGGGCCAGAGGTCGCGGCCCAGGGGCCTGGCCCGCGAGGCCGTGGATACGGACGCGCTCGGAGGCAGTTCTTCTTCAGATTCTTGCAAGCTTACTTGCATGGAGGGGCGGGGGAGGGCGTGGTGAGGCCCGAGAGGAAATCTGGACCTCATGCAAGTCGGGACTCGCGTGCACGCCTGCTCGTCCCAGCGCTGCTGGAACAGGCGGCGGAACGGTGGTGGGGGAATGCCATGCAAGCGAACTTGCCGACGTCTAAAGAGGAACTGCGGGGTCGCGGACCAGGGGTCTGGCACGCGAGGCCGTGGATACGGATATGTTCTTCGCCAGCGATAGGCGCGGCATCCGACCCGACCCCCAGGAACCAGACCCCCACTGATCATCGATTCTCCTGAATCGATGGGAGGCCGGGAAGGGCCTGGGTTTCGCGATGTGTTCCACGAATTCCGAAGCTTACCCCCGCCGCCCATCGAGTTGCCTGACTCGTGCATCGGCGAGGGTAGGGGGTGAAATTCGTCGCAGAGATGCGCTGCAGATGCGCTTTCCACCAACGAGCCCCGAATGTGTTCCTCTGACTCCTCCAGAGGTCCGTGCTGACGCGTTTGCCAAGGCGGATCCAGCCGTGGCTGCTTGAGGCACCTCGTCCTGACTCCGTATCCCTCAGGACCCCCCCTCCTCCCCCCCTCCTCTTCCTTCTCCCCCCCCTCTCCCCCCCCCCCCCCCCCCCCCCGTCCTCCCCCTCTCCCCCTCCTCCTCCTCCCCCTCCCCTCACCTCCTCCTCCTCCTCCCCCTCCTCCTCCCCCTCCTCCTCCTCCCTCCTCCTCCCTCCCCTCCTCCTCGGGGCCCCATCTTGGAACCGCCGACGGCGGCACCTCCGTGGGCCGCGGGCCTCCGCCGGCCCCGCCGCGGGCGCGGGCGGGGCCGCCGCCGGCGGCGGGCCCTCCGCGGGCGCCGCCGGCGGGGGCGGCGGGGGCAGGCAGGCGGCGCAGCGCGCGTCGGCGGCCAGCGGCGTGCGCGGGGGCGGCGGCGGCGGCGGCGGCGGCGGCGGTGTGGCGGTGGTGTGCGGCGGCGGCGGCGGCGGTGGCGGCGGCGGCTGCGGTTGCGGCGGCGGCGGCGGCGGCGGCGGCTGCGGTTGCGGCGGCGGCGGCCAGCTCCTCCTCGTGGCGTTGGCTCGGGCGGCGGCGGCGGCGGCGGCGGCGGCAAGCCGCGGCGGCGGCGGCGGCGGCGGGCACGTCCCCCGACGGGCGGAGTCTGGGGCAAAAGTAAAAAAAACAAAAAAACAGGAACAAAAGCAGTCGAACAGATGCACAAAAGGGACCCACCATGGTGGAAACATCGTCTCCCTGCCATTGTTTCTGATTTTGCGGAGCGTTCCCCCCGTAGAGGGACGTGCCCGACTCAATCTTGGCGGCGAGCCTTGGGGGGAAGCCAGGCGGGGCGGGCCTTCTCAGAAGGCTCGGAAGGCCTCGGGGGCCCGTCCGAGAAGTGTCCTCGGGCCTTTCCCGAAGGCACGGAGGAGCGCTCCTCGGCCAGCGCGACGGGACTGGTTTAGGGGGGGGGTGGACGAAAAGTCGACTTGGAACCGTCGGTGTGTTGTTGATCTATCGACAATAAGCCCCCGAGAGCGAATCCGCTCGATGCTGAGCATGGTGGCGCTCTCGGAACCCCCTCTCGACGAACCACGGGCGAGGGGCGGGCCCGTGCTTTCCCCCTTGAGCCGACCCCCCCCCAATCCGCATACTCAGGTAAGGAGCTCCAGGCCTCCCAGGTGGGGTCCGAGTAGATGGGGTCGAAGGATCGCGCAGCATCGCCAACGCATCGGCGATGCATCGCCAATGCGGCTCGATGGGGGGGCGGATCTTCTCCACGCCGACGGCGCCGATTCGTCGCCGACGTCGCCGATGCATCGCCGATGCATAGCCGATGCATCGCTGATGCATTGGCGATGCGGCGCGATCCTCCGACCCCGTCTACAGGCATAGTAAGGAACGACTTTCTAAGGATACCCTTGCATCCTCCCCCATTCGGAGCCCTCCTCGGCCGCTTTCGCTGGCCGCGCCGAGCTTGCGGAGTGTCGACATGGCCTTCCGTGGAGGCCTCCTAGATGGGGTCCGAACATATGGGGTCGGAGGATCGCGCCGCATCGCCGATGCATCGCCGATGCATCGCCGAAGCATCGCCGATGCAACGGCGATGCGATGCATCGGCGACGTCGGCAATGCATCGGCGAAGTCGGCGCGGCGATGCATCGGCGACGTCGGCAATGCATCGGCGAAGTCGGCGCGGAGAAAGTCGGGCTCCGCATCGACCCGCATCGCCGATGCATCGGCCATGCGGCGCGATCCTCCGACCCCATCTACTCGAACCTCATCTGGGAAGCCTAGATTCCAGGGCCTTGCATCCTGATCGTGCGTCCTTACTATACCTGGCGGCGAGCGAGGGGGGGAAATGAGAAGGAGAAGGCCTTCTCGGAAGGCTCGGAGTCCCCCCGGCCTCCTCAGAAACTGTCTGAGCCTCCCGCGAAGACACGAACACACACACACACACAAACACACACACACAGACACACACACACACACGCACACAGACTCACACACACAGACACACACACAGACACACAGACTCACACACACAGACACACACACACACACACACACACACACACACACACGCACACAGACACACACACACACACACACAGACACACACACACACACACACAGACACACACACCTCTCAAAGGCAAGAGGGCTTCTGGGAGTCCCGCCGCCTTCTGAGAAGGCCTTCTCCTTCTCGCTTCCCCCCCTCGCTCGCCGCCGAACCGGGCTTTTCGGGTCTCAACTCGGGCCTCCAGCGGCCGCTCGGGACGATCCGGGCGTCCTCGGAACGCTATCGGCGAGGCGCAGCCGCTGGAACGCATCCCGCGGGCGGCACCGCCAAGACACGACGGAAAAGCCAGAACAGCAAAACAACACTCAGAACCTCTCGAAGTTCGAGCCTCGAAGTTCGACCTTCTCCCCCAAGCTCGACGCCGATTATTGTGTTCTTGCTATACGCGACGACTGCTGAAGGGGCCCTTGGACACAGAAATAAATACACACAAATAAAAGGATTCCCCATATTTTCCTATATGTTCTGGGTTTCTGTCTTCCCCCCCCCCCACTGCCCATATTTTCAAATATTTTCCTTGGAATCGACGATTACTTGAGTCTGCGTGTTTTTTCCTCTCTTGATCTACGCAACGACTGCGCCAGTGCCTCCGCTCCTCCAGCGCCGCCGCGTCGGCGGCGGAGGCCGCCTCCGCCGCGAGGGCCACCGCGGCCCCGGCCGCGGCGGCGGCGGCGCTGACCTCCTGGGCGCCGCGCTGCTCAGACGCGCCGCGCTGCCACGGGCGTTGGCTGCCGACGCCGCGTGGATCGGGCCGTCTAGAGGAAAGAGAACTATGCACATACACCGATTCTGGCTGGGCCCATCCTGAGCCTAGGATCGGTGCCAACGCCCACTACCTTGGCCAGGAGGGTATCTGCACCGATCCTGGGTCAAGGACGGGCCTGGCCAGGATCGGTGCATGTGTATAGTTCTCTTCGCCCGACAGTCTTGATCGAGGCAGGAAAAAAGCGGCATACACACAGACCTTGGGCGCTCCGCGCGCCAGGGAGGGGGGCCCAGCGCGGATCCAAGCAATCCGCGCGGAGCGCCACAAGTTTATGCTTATGGAGTTGTATATATATATATATATACATACATACTTGAACGATCGAGTTTATGCTTGTGGCGTGTTTTGTTGGTTCTGCTTGAGCGATCGCCGCTCTCCGACGGCGCAGGTCGCTCGATAGCGGCCGATGCTAATCTACTAGCGGTGCTCCACCTCGAACACCCGCGCCGGGGCCGCTGCCGCGCCGGTGCGACCCGAACCTGCCGTACGCGTGCACCGAGCCCGGCCAGGCCCACGCCTCTCCTCCTCCTCCCTCCTCCTCCTCTCCCTCCTCCTCCTCCTCCTCCTCCTCCTCCTCCTCCTCCTCCTCCTCCTGCTGCTCCCCTCCTCATCGTCCCTTCCCTCCCCCCTTTTACCCCTGGGCCCAGGATCGGTGCACACGGTCTCCTGGCTTGGGCAGCAGAGGCATGCACACCAATCCTCAGCCCATCGGGTAACCGATCCCCCTATCCCCACTCGCGTGGCCTGGGCCCCACTGGCCGATTTGCCCCCCTACATGGGTATATAAGGCAATTTCTCTCAAAATTCGCAGGGTATATCCGCAACTGGGGGGATGAGATGGCGGGGGTCTGGATGGGGATGGGGATGGGTTAAACGATACTGAGATCCTGGACCCAGCATCGGCTTGGGCAGCCTGGTGCAAGTGCATAGCTGGTGCGTGGGGGAACCCAGAAAGTCCCGATACCGCTACTCCCCGGACCTCTCCCAGGGTGCGTCCTGACGAGAATTTCAAGGCGAACCCAGCCAGCGGTGGCGACGAGGGCCTCCAAGGAGGCCCCGAAAAAGCGGAACACGAGGCAAGGGTAGCGGAATGCAGAAGAAGAAGAAGAAGAATAAGAAAACAACTGCATACACATAGACTTTTGGCGCCCCGCACGGATCTCTTGGATCCGCGCGGGACCCCCCTCCCTGGCGTGCGGAGCGCGCCAGGGGCGGCGCCAGAGGCGCCGCCGGGGGGGCCCAGACCGGATCCAAGCGATCCGCGCGGACCGCCCACAGTGTATTCGCTTCATGGCGCTTCTTCTCCTGCAAATCTTCCGCCTCCGAGCTCCTGGGCGCACGTGAGCGTCTTGCGCAGGTGCTCCACGAGCTGCGCGGAGGCCTCCGGGGACGTCGCGCCGGCAGCCACGAAGGCCGCGCCGGCCACGGCCGGCACCGCCATGCCCGCGCAGCGCGCCCGCGGGCCGCTCGCTCCCCGCCGCTGCCGGCGCGAGCCCGAGCGGCCACGTGCTGTCGGACATCCCGTCATGAGCTCTGCCGGCCCGCCAACGGAGGCCTCCAAGACTCGGAGGGGGGAAAAGGCACCCTTGGTTTTTCTGAATAAGCGTGGGGGGGGTACCCCCCCCCCCCGACGGGGGTCCACCTCGCCTCGTCGTCGCGCCTTGGCGGGGGTCCGAGCGCCTGCTGCGCGCGGTGGCTGCCCCGCGACGGGGTCGACGTGGGTCTGTCGGCGGGGGTGACGCCCCCCCCCCACGTGTATTTAAAAACTTGGAGAACTCATGCCGCTACGTTTCGGCCGCTTTCCCCTTTCTGGGCCTCCTGGGAGGCCCTCGTCGCCACTGCTGGTTCCGCCTCCCCCAGGGAGGGGACGCCTTCGCGCAATGACTTCTGAAGCAGACGTCGGTCGACCTGGCAAGAAGCGAACACCAATGCCCAGTGTGCCCGGAGAACAACTGTCATCTCTTCGCGTTCCGTGATCACTTCGCCCCGAGCACTGCGGACAACGGAGGGCGCTGCACCCCGGCAAGGGAAAAGCCGCTGAAACGTCTGGAAAAGGCGGCTGCGTCGCTTGTCGGGTTTTTCTCCAATCGCCTGTCGTGGTGACTGCTGTCTTCTTCTTTCCGGGCCACGGTCGTTATGACCGTCGCTCCAAACCACCCTGTGGTGCTGGGTCTCCGTGTTGTACAGAGAACGCCCCGCGTCCTCCCGCCTTCCTCCCGCCTCCTCCCTCCCGCCTCCTCCCTCCCCGTCCTCCAGCCCTGGCGCAGCTGCAGGCGACGAAGCTAGAGCAGTTGGACATCCTCAAGCGCAACGTGGGCTGTCACGCGCTCAGCCTTCCGAAGGCGGGCTCCGGTGCCGCGGCTTGGCGGCGTGCGCAGCGAGGCCCGCGCCTCCTGGCCCCTGGAGCGGCTCGCGCCGGTGCGGGTGCTCTGGCCGCCGCTGGCACAGCAGTCGCGGGCTCGGCCTTGCTTGCGGATGCCGCTCCCTTCTTCCCCGTGCCGTCGGCGGACCTGCAGCTGGCGGGCCACTTCGGCGTGGTGGCCGACGACGCGGATGACCCCTTCGTCGCGGGCGTGGCGACCGTCGTCGGCGTCGACGTGACCGCCCTGGACGCGCAGGTGCGGCTCCCTGGCCCTGGCACGCGAGGCTCCCTGGCGGACCCACCTGCCCCCGTCGGGACGGAGTCGGCGTTGGACACAACCATAGCTGGTGCAGTGAGTGCAGGGGAACCTGGTGGCCTCTGGCCAACAGGGGAGCCTGCCGTCGCAGCACCGACGCATCAGGTGAATGGCGGCGGTGACGTGCCACGTCAGCCAGCGGCGAGTGCTGCGCGCGCAGACCCCTGCCCTCCTGGAGCGTCTGCTGCTGGGCGCCGTCATGGGACGATCGCCGAGCCGTGCACCCTCGAGCCCCTCGCCGACGTCCTCCCCGACGCCCCCGCCCTCGGCCACCCCGCGGCCGCGGAGGATCGGCCCTCAGGGATGCGGGAGGCGGCCCCGCCCTTCGTGCCTGCCGCGCAGGCCCAGCCGAGTGTGGCGGAGGAGACGAACGAGGCGGACCCTTCCTCGGGCTGGCGATGCTCGTGCGGAGCTGTCGTCTACAGCCCTTGCGATTCGGGGCCCGTGCATGCGTGGTCGTCTGGCGGGCGCTTCGACATCGTGCTCCCTCTGGTCGTTGCCGTGGCGGTGCAGACGGATGCCGCTCCCGTCGAGGATTCGCGTGACCGACCTCGCGGCAACGATGCTGGCTCGGGCTCCGCGGGCGCTGCACCTGGACCACTGGCTGGGCCGCCTGCCCTTGGTGGGGCGGCGCCTCCTCGCGACAACGTCGGCTTCAAGTTCCTGATCGGCAGCGCTGCCGACTGCAGCGGGGGCCCTTTCTCTACCGCTCGGGACGACGGCGTCGCCGATGGCATGCCCGCGCCGTGCACGCCCTGGCCGAGGGCGCAGACTCCGACCCGCGACCTGTCCCCCGAGAAGGAGGTGCAGGGGCTGACGCCTGCCAGCGGATCATCCTGGCGGGCAGTGGACGTGCCTGGTGCTGCTGCGAGCTTGGCCCAAGGTATGGCAGCCATCGCCGCGCGTTGCCCGCCACCGTCCACCAGCCCCGACGAGGCGAGGCGCCTCGAGTCCCTCCGCCGCCAGTGGACACGCACTCTGGACGATCTCCTCGAGGAGCGCAGGGCGGCCCTCGTCGACGGCTGCGACCTGGACCGTTTTGACGAGCTCGAGGACGACATCCAGGAGGCGCAGCGGGTCTTGGGAGAGATCGACGACGGCGTCTCCTCCCAGCAGATCCTGCTGTACAGCTTATGACGCACTCCGCCATCGTGTTTTCGTTCCGTCGGATGTGCTCGAGCTCAACAAGTCGAGCCTCGTCGCCTGAGTCCGTCCGCGCTGCCGCCTTCGTCGCGCGCCTCCGGCCCCGCCTGGATAAAACCTCAGGCCTCCGCAATTTCCGGCACACCTCTCACGCGCTCCGTGGCCCCAGCGGCACAGCTCGCATGGCGTACCCGCACACGATTTGGCACACCCCTCAGACGTTTCGTGTATAAAGGGGCTCCACCGAAGGCCCCAGCGGCTCAGTCCGCATGGCGTACCCGCACACGATTTGGCACACCCCTCAGACGTTTCGTGGCCCCATGAGGGAGCTGCACCGAAGGCCCCGGCGACTCAGTCCGCATGGTGTACCCGCACACGATTTGGCACACCCCTCAGACGTTTCGTGGCCCCATCTGGGAGCTGCACCGAAGGCCCCGGCGACTCAGTCCGCATGGCGTACCCGCACCCGACTCGGCACACCCCTCACACGTTTCGTGGCCCCATACAGGGGGCTCCAACGAACGCCCCAGCGGCACAGCTCGCATGGCGTACCCGCACACGATTTGGCACACCCCTCAGACGTTTCGTGTATAAGGGGGCTCCACCGAAGGCCCGAGCGGCTCAGTCCGCATGGCGTACCCGCACACGATTTGGCACACCCCTCAGACGTTCCGTGGCCCCATAAGGGGGCTCCACCGAAGGCCCCAGCGGCTCAGTCCGCATGGCGTACCCGCACACGTTTCGGCACACCCCTCAGACGTTTCGTGGCCCCATGAGGGAGCTGCACCGAAGGCCCCGGCGACTCAGTCCGCATGGTGTACCCGCACACGATTTGGCACACCCCTCAGACGTTTCGTGGCCCCATCTGGGAGCTCGGAGCTGCACCGAAGGCCCCGGCGACTCAGTCCGCATAGCGTACCGCACCCGACTCGGCACAACCCCTCACACGTTTCGTGGCCCCATACAAGGGGCTCCAACGAACGCCCCAGCGGCACAGTCCGCATGGCGCACCCGCACCCGCTTCGGCACACTCGTCGCACTCGTCGCTCGGCACATTCGAGGCCCCACAGGAGTAGGAGGAGGAGGAGGAGGAGGAGGAGGAGGAGGAGGAGGAGGAGGAGGAGTGGGCCCCGGTGCAGGGCCCAGAGGCAGTGCCAGCATGTCGGCCCCGCCCCATTCCAGCACACCCTTCAGACGCTCCTTGACCCCATAAGCAGATCCAAACGAAGGCGAGAACCACAACGACGGTGCTCACATTTGCACACGGTTGGGCCCCTCGTCGCCAGGATGAGTTGTTCTTTCCCGGGCAGCGGTCGCTACCTGGGGGGGGTTCCGGGCGGGAAACTATACCGGCGGCCGCGGCGTCCACCCGCCAGGGTGCGTCCGCGAAGCCGGCCCATCAATCGCCTGTGTGCACCACAGCATGTAGGGTGGGGTCCAGCCCCCCCCCCCAATACCATCGTTAGCGTTCCGGGGCTTGGCCGGGGTAACGAGCGTTATAACCTGGGGATAAGAGCAAAACGCTGACATGCTGTTGCGGTTAGCTGCAAAGTCGTGGATGGCAGACTCCTGGGCGAGCTCTACCACGCGCTGGCGAAAGCTATGCGGCATAAGCTATGTAGTGTACCCTACGTGGTATAAACTACAAGGTGCAAACTATGCCAAACTATGCGTTGAACTCTACATGTGGCAAACGCTATATGGTGCAATCTAGGTGACGCAACCGGTCCACTCTGTCTATCGAAACCACAAGGTACCGATCCCGCTACTCCCCGGATCTCTCCCAGGGTGCGTTCTGACCAGGATTTCGAGGCGAACCCAGCGGTGGCGACCATGACCTCCTAGGATGCCAATAAAAGGGGAAACGAGTGAATGATTGCGGAAAGGGTACCTTTTCCTCCTCTGACTGCCCATGTGGTGCAAACTATGCGGTCGCCTACGGGGCACCAACGAGGTGCCCACGACAGGCCACATGCCCACCCACGATCGACCCGCGTCATGGCGTTACCGTGTCCAGAGTGGTGCTTCCACGTCGCAGAATTCAACCTTGAACGCCTCGCCGGCAACGCTGGCGCGCAAACGACGCATGAACTTACCGTGCTGGGCGAGGCCTCGGCGGACACGTTCAATTCCTTAGGTAACATGTGAAAGAACCCCTAAATGCAAGCACTGCTTGGGGAACTTCGTGTGTTCTCTGCGGTGCAGGCCATGTGGTGCAAGTTGTGTGGTGCAATCTATGTCAACACCCAGAAACACTCGCCAACCCATGAGGCGCCCACGCTGCGCTCACAAGCGGGTACGGGCCGAAGATGGGGAGACCAAAAGGTACCGACACCGCTACTCCCTGGACCTCTCCCGGGGTGCGCTCTGACCAGAAGTTCGAGGCGAATCCAGCGGTGGCGACGAGGGCCTCCCAGGAGGCCCTCGTCGAGAGGAGACGGGCGAATGGTAAAGGTGTGGGTGCCTGTTCCTCCTCCGAATGTGCGGGCACCGGCCGAAGACCAGGAACTGCCAATCACCGCACGGGGCGCTCACGAGACTCCCAGCGGTGCACGGACACCAGCCGGGCGAGCACTTGAAAAACCCAGCCACCACACGGAGAACGAACGCCCACGGGAGC